AAAAATGGAACAGTAAGTGGTTTTCCAATTTGTAGGTTTCATCTAGAGTGATACTACCCATATCTAATTCTATACTGTTTAATGCCTTTAGGTATTGCTGGTTTTCAATTGCATTTCTTGTTTTTTAGCTATCCAAATTAGAATGTCTTAAAATTTGCATTGTTTTCTCTATGTGTTGTTTCTTCTATGTTAAGCAATATTGCCTGATTCTGGCCTCTTTTGAAAATGCTTTTGGAAATATTAACATACATATTCAGTTCTTTTTGTCTGTCCTATCTTGAAACAAAATGTTGGTCAATAAATGTTTATTTAGACCTTACCAACTGTGTTTGTAATAAGTGATATTTTCAGATTATGACACTGTTCTCCTCATCTTTATTAGTCTTATTACTTCTAGCAAACTTGTCTTTGAATTAGGAATAGTAGGTTAGTTATGGGGTGGCAGTAAAACATTATAAAACACTATAAAAATTTCAGTAAATTTTATAAAACATTATAAAAATTTCAGTAAATTTGATACTGAAATTTTATATTGAATTATTATAATGAATTCATTTTCTAATTTTATTTAATTTAGTGACAGTTCATTAATATATTCTTATGCTTTTAAGAAGTTCTAATTAAGAGTGTTGTGATAATAATGTATCATAATTATGTGCATTTCATTATATTAAAGCAAAATGTTTAGCTTCATATGAATTTTTTAAGACATTCAAAAGAATAATTAATATCCAAACTAGAAGGGAACATTTTTCTTTATTATATAATATTTATAAAGTTAGCTATCTTCAAAGCCCCCGACACTAGTTTTTCTGGTTTAAATTGAATGTGTTATTCTTCTACTTGACACATGGTACATGCATGAGAAAAAGGAAATGCTTTTGGATTATATTAATGAAATTAGACATTATCCAAACAATTCTGGAGATAAAAGAGTTCCATCTACCACAGTGAGGGACGAGGCTCCAGGTGTGCAACATTATTCCATCTCTCTGTGATGGCGAAGCTTCTCCAGAGCGAGGTCCTGGAGAGGAGCTGCTCATTGTGCCCACTAACGTGGGCGATCCACTCACGTATGGCCTGTGTCTATGTGGCCTCTTCGATCATCTGACTGCATTACCTGCTTTTTTTAATACTTTGAAATTTAGGGACTAAGTTGATGTATAATAATATGCAGTTCATGATCTGTCTATTTTAAATTTTCTTCATGCTATCACCCATGAAAAGCATAGAACTTGGTTTGCCCCTGAAAAGATATCACCTCAGCCAGATGAATGTTTGTCAAGCACTAGAGAGCCCTAAATATATGTGTTTAAGGTCATAGTTATTAACTAAACAAATAGAAGAAATTGGGTAAAGATATAGCTCAAGTAGAATATGAATATTTAGAATACAATAGAAATAGTGCATTCTTTATGATTCTAAAGTAAAGCTTCTACAAGATATAGCTGGTGTTATGCATTATATTTATTTCTTTTCTTTCTCTCTGTCCTTATAAAACTAACATTCTGGGCAATTAAAAAAATTACAATAGTTTTAATAAAATAGGCCCTCTTAATTCTTTCCTACTGTTGCAGTTAACTTGGGTGATGTCAGTCTGTTCCTGTTAGAATTGCTATTCAACTAAAAATGTATTATGATCTGCTCTGCACATAAAAATTACATTATAATGAGCAAAACTCAGCCAAACATAATTGTGCCTATATCAGCAATTGTAACAGGAAGCTTTTTCTATAATGGTGATAATTACCATATCAACGATAATTTTATTGTATGATATGCATTGTCTTTTCCTTTGGTGCTCTATTAATACACAGAATGTGTCCATCAGTTCCTAGGTGATACAAATGCCAAAAAATTTAAACTCTCTCTCCTAATCCTAGAAAAATCATAATTAGAAAGTAAACAAAATGAGAGCAGCCGAATTCCATCCCCCGAGGCTATACCTTTTAACCTGTAACTCTTTTTAACAGGTTTATGTTCTTGCTGGAGGCAACTTATGAAAACATCTTAATGGCCTCAACTCTCATACTGAAAACATCCAATCATCTCTGACTTTGGCCTGCTGAGTTACAGAGGCATATTGTCTGTAGTTGCTGGGCTGGTCATCTCTAAAATGTGAACTTTACAACTTTTCCTAAGTGCAAAGGGGGAAAAGGAAGGGAAAAGTTCATTCCTATTCACAGGTGCATCACCAAATAGTCCCTTCAGCTCTTACAGAAATTTCACAATGTGGGATCCTGTGTAAAAGGGCAAGACGAAAAATACAGAAGTTACAAAAACTTCTCCTCCTATAATGGAATTCATCTGCTTTTCTAGCCCTTCTCTACTTTTTATATCAACACTGGAATTATTTATTGAGCATTTACTATGTGCGAAGTATCTAGGAACTTAAAAGGGACTGAAATAGCACCTCCATTCTCTAAGGTGTGAATTGGATAATAACTTGGGTACTCAAATATTCACAAGCAAAAACTCTGGATATCACATTTGAGAAAGCGTGTCTATGGTGACATACAGTTTACAGCAACTTCCAAAAACTACGTAGATTTTTTGAAGCAAAAACTACTGCAAGAGATTATAGAAATAGAATTTTTAAACCAAAACAAACTGCCTGTCCTACATTACTTTATCATACCTTCCATGTTTATAGTTTGAAAAAGCATTTCTCCAAGAATGGGCTTCCCTTTATCAGAATTTAAACAAACATCCAATTACCTGTGGATGCAATTTTGGCCATTGCAAATAACTGTTGATTTGCAACCCAACTGGTTCTTGGGTATTGGTGGCAAGTCAAATCTCCTTAAGTCTGGAATCGCCTATATAGGACTCACAGCTTCTCCCCAGTCTTCATTTGTCCAAAGAAAAATGTTACTCCAATGTCTTATCCATGTCCGTTCTTAAGAGAAAAAAAACTTTTGCTGAAGCTTTGCTAGTTTTAGAGATATATGGATTCCGGCATCTAATTGCATCAATGCAATGAAAAGTTTACTCACTCAAAAATAGTCTTTTTTTGTCTTTTTTTCTACATTGATAACCTTGACACATCTTGGGTATACAGTCCTTAGAATTGTAGTCTTTAGAATATGGCAAGAAATGATTTCTTTGGAATAAAAAAGATAAAAGAGAAAGCCTTAAATTGAATGTTCATTTTAATATAAATTTCTAATGACCTCGGTTGAGGATAGTTGGAGGAAGAAAGATCTGTGGGTTGGAACAGAAATAGGAGGAGGGCATGGAAGAGGTTGAGTGGGTTGTACAGGAAAGTTTTGAGCCTTAGAAGGAGCTCCTGGGTTTGGTATCAGGTGTTTGGGAGGAACTGAGGCCGGTGCTGGAAGCCCTTTATGAGCCTTATGCATTAGAAAAGTTTTTGAGAAGCACACATTCAGCTCTGCCAAAGGGTATCCAAAGTATTTTCCACTTCAGGTTCGAGCTTAGTAGACCAGGGTGGACCCCAAATGCAGGAAGGAACAATTCCGAGTCATAAAAGTAAGAAGACTTTGAGCAGTGAATGGAAGACTATAGAAAGAAAATTAAAATGCACCTTCAACTGCATGTTAGTTCAACAGAGCAAGAAATATCTCCAAGCATCTTGGTAAAATTTAGGAAGGAACAATGAAAAATTCTCAGGAAAAAGAGGTAACATAAATTTATCGGACAGTTTGCAGTGCACAAATGTCTTTGGTAGTCTGTATTTTTTTTTCTTCTTTAGTGAACATAAATAATGAAAACTTTCAGAAGTTTATTTCTAATTTCAGTTATTCATAAGGTCTTAGATTGTCTTCATCTGCAAATTTTACCACCATGGAGTTTTTAGGAACTTGCTCCTTGAAGCCTTGGGTGTCGCTTTAATTTTAGGAAAAAATATCTGGAAAAAAAAGACATGAACTTGTATCTCTAGCAAACAGTTTTCATCATTTGTAGCCTTTTAGTCATGACTAAACAACCTCTGACACACTTCATGAGTAGATTTTTCCCTTTCAATAAATGTGGCCGTTTGCTTTTTTCTCATGTTCTTCACCTATTATCCTTTCCTTTTTTATGGCCTTTTTTTCTTTGTCTTTTCATCCCCTTGGTCAATACTTCAGGTTTCTCAACATTGTTTAGCTCCACAGCCTAAGAAGGTTTTACACATTTGTCTCAAACTGTCCCACACAATAAATGTGTTATGTACTGAGAATTACTTGAGTAAAGAACTAAGCAATACTTTTCTGCTGAGTCAGATGTAGTTTCTTCCCCTCTGTCTTTTTCTTAGAAAAATGAAGTCCAGCATTTAATGAGAGTAATTTTTTTCTTCTTTTATTTTTATTGAACTTTTGGCCATAATCGTGCAGTCCTACTAATACCGTTTAGGGAAATGGGGACTCTCGTGGCCAGATAGTCACCTTGTGGTGCGATCGCAATAGGAATGCTGCCAGAAGTTTGGAGGAGACTGGAGGAACCTGGGGCTAGCTCTGCGGAGCCTGTTAATGTCAGGCGGTGGCACGGGGTCTTAAGTGATTTGAAAGTCCTCTTCTCTGCAGCTCTCCATCTTCCTCCTTCCTTCCCTCCCTCCCTCCCTCTGCATAGCCTGGCTGCTTCTGCTACTAATTTCTCTTGAGCATGGAAGAAACTAAACCTTGCTTATTCACTGTGGTGCTGAGATGATTTCATAGCAAATACTTTAAAAATAATTTAAGGGAGAGAAATTTCAGTTTAACTGAAACATATTTATTCCTTAGTGCTACATTTTTTTTCAGCAGATTGCACAAACCTTCGTTACTGAGCATCTTTCCACATCCATTCTTTTTTGTCCACTGGCAACTTGCAGACCTCCTTTTTTTTTTTTTTTTGTAGTTACGAACTGAATGAATTCTTAGACTATGTATAGGTGGACCTACTGATGCTATTCACCACACATATTTATAATGCTATTTTGAGCATTTTAATATGTTCTGATGATTTGGATTTTGTAGAAAGAAAGAAAGAAGTGGCTATTAAAAATTGAATTTCTCTTTCAGGAAACCTTTGAGAAGGCAAGTCTGAGCAGCAGCAGCAGTGGAGCAGCCAGCCTGAAAAGTGAACTTTCTGAAAGTGCAGACCTGCCCCCGGAAGCTTTCCAGGCCTCCTGTGGCAAAGAGGAAGACAGGGCCTGTGACGAAATCCTGTCAGATGACACCTTCAACTTGGAAAATATCGAGAAAGGTATTTCTAGTGAAAAGGTGGCAGCATGAATGCACTCTTGACTCCTTCGTATTTCAAGGTTTATTTGCTTTTATTATTATCATTATTATTTTTATTAATGTGCAGATATATATTCGGAGCTAGACGATGAATTGGACATTTCGGATAACTCCAGCAGCTCCAGTTCAAGCCCTTTGAAAGAGTCTACATTCAGTAAGCTTTCTCTACCTGTTTGTGGATTCCAGCAGGTAGCAGTTTGGGGATTGTACTCGGGAGTCAAGTACATGTCATCACGTACATAACCCAGTGGTTTGTCTTTCAGGTGCAATGCTAATTAGGACAGATGTGTCTATCCCTGTCAGAGCCTAGAAGCCAACCAGCACTGTGGTTTTCTGTTGCCTCAGCTGTTCAACAAATAGTTTCATTATTTCTACCAGCAAATGCAGGCTCTAACTGGGGAGTGGAGATAACTAATTTGGAGACAGACTAAATAACTACGGGAATAATGGAAGTGACCTTTTATGAGTGTGTTTAGGGGTTAGAAACCTGGAGAAGAAATTAGTGTTGGTGTAGACTAAGTTTTGTACTATTTTATTTACCTTAATACAAAGGGACGTATGATACTTAAAACACTAAAGTAAAAAATATTTTAATTGTTTAGAACTATGAAAAAATATAATATATAAATTCAGTCCATATGTCAATCTCAACTCTTAATTTGAAACAGTAAAGAAAATAGTCACACTGGGGTATGGGAAAGAAAAGATATATTTAAATAAATTTAAAGATTTTAAGAAAAGATAGGATTCGATTTACTCAACAAATCTGAACCTGAAAGAAAAGAGCAGTTATAACAGCAGATAGAGAGAAAAGGAAAACTCTTTTAAAAGAGTAAGTTGATAGAATATTAAATAGGATATATAGAAATACTCTGAAATAAATTAAGTGTAAATAATTTCTTCTCACCAATAACTATGTCAGAAAAGATTTAAAATAGTCTCCCCAAGGATAAAAGTAGAGCCTTAAGGATTTAGCTTGAATCTTTGTCCCTTTCCAACTGAACTGGTCCATCAAAATGGTGACCAGACATTCTAGATTTTCTGGGACAGTACCAGTTTTCAACACTCTGCTCTTTTTTCCCTGTAAATCTCAGACAGCTAGATAGACTGTCTTGATGTGCAATTGAGAAAACATGAATATTATACAGTAAAAACATTAATGCATATAAACATGTGTAGCATGTTCTAGAAGCAGTTAATTCCTGACTGTTCGAGGAGACTTCAGTGTGGTGTATCTCCAGTAATGATGGTGGGGCAGGTCAGTGGGGAAGCAGGAAAGGAAAGCTGGACCCTTAAATTTGCTTGTGGTGGTGACTTGTAGCTCTCTCGGCAAGGGTTTTAGATATTTTATGGTTCTTTTGTTAGCTGTTAATAACAGCGTTTCTTCGCTTAGTGCCTTTTCGTTGGAAAAAGACCCTTAGAAAAACCCATCAAGTGCGTAGTACCTTGCAACATTATATTTTAGCCAATGCTTTCATAAATGAAGACAGTCTTTATAATACATACAATTGCTCAGATAATACGATGCAACATTTTTAAACAAACAAATGAATAAATTAAATATTTATTTTTAATAGAGAGTATGGAAAGTTATTTTTATTTTCTTGTTTCAGGCATTTTAAAGAGAAGTTTTAGTGCTTCAGGAGGAGAAAGACAATCCCAAACAAGGTATGTACACATTGAGCTCCTAGAAATATTTTTAGACTGCAGAATTGAGTTATTGGTGGCTAAATTGAAACCTGATAGCTGGAAATTACCGCAGACATGTGATAATAGAGGCTATTAGAGCCCACCTTCCCAGAACTGATTGCTGTTTACCAAACAGCAACCTGGGAAGAGTAGCAAGCTTGGACCTGGGTTTTAGTCTACTTTTGTGATCTTAAGCCAATCAGTGAGTCTTTCTGAGCTCAAGGATGATCCAGGGAGGTAAGCCAGTTGTGCTTCATGAGATTATCAAGGTGTTCTTTAGTGGGCTAAAGTGCCGAGTGCCATTTTTAGAAGTAACAGAGCACAGGAAAAAGAAGCAGTCTGAAACCCTACGAAGAACTAGAACAAGTGATTGTGGGGACTTGGGACCTGAGTTAGAAGACCCTCGAGGGATCACCAGACTTGCAAACCCCTCCCATTCCACATCTTTGGCTTTTCACCCCTAACCCTCCAGCTCTGCTTCCACTTGCCAAAGACAAGGAAGCCACACACAGGAGCCTGGAACTGTGGGAGCTCTAGTTCACTTGGCCAAGCACGTGAGGTGATGGGGGTGGGAGATGTGAGCCTGGCTGTAAAGTTGGGAGTACCATGGAGTGGCTGTGTCCTCCTCAACTCTGGCATCAGAGCTTCTCTACCTTAAACACATCATGAGTTCAGTAGAGTTTTGCGAGCTAATCTGGATATCTATCACTGCCTGGAACAGTATTTGCATAGGAACAGTATTTGCACATGCTCTCCCCCGAAATAATAAGTGCACTTTGGAATCTACTGCTTCCTTTTAAGGTTTATGATTATTTCTATTTTTAAGAACATCAAAAAGGCTTGTCCTCTCTTATTAAATACTTTATTCGGTGATATGAAGTTGTTTAAATATATAACAAAGATGCGAAACAAGTATTTTATTACAAAAATAAATTAAGACATATGTGTATGCTCCCCATTTAGGAGAATTTTATATTAAAATGGACATTTCCAATTTAGGAATCTTAGCATTGCCAAATAACTCTACTCCTTTTTCCAAAAGGATTCATAGAAGATTGTCTTATTTGCAAGAATCCAGTTGAAATCCAATCCTTCAAAAATAAAGAAAACATATGTACTGTATATTTTACAGCTTGAAATGGTTTTTCAAAGTTAGTCATTCTTTAAACATTTTATAGTAAATTGGATGAACTGGAATCAACAGGATGAGGGCATTCAATCTAAAGCTCACTGAAATAGGGATATTACAGAGCGGGCTTTAACGTAGGGTTGATGACCAAGTCAGCCACTGGAAAATGGAAAATGGAATATGTTGGCTTTGAGGGTGCTGGGAAGAGCAAAATGGCAATGAATTTCAGAATGAAGAACCTGCCTAGCAAAATGCTGGGAGTGGTGGTGTTCAGTTAGGTGGCAACAGTTGACGAGTCAGAAGGTGCATACATGGGTGAATAGGTGAATAGGTCCTGACCTAAAATAACATTTGTGAAACTGTGCCATGTGTGTGATACAGTGGGATATGCCATTGGGGGACACAGGTTGCTTTAAGATAAGCCCTCTTCTCTCAAGGAACTCACAGCATAATGGAGAGACAAGGGCAAACTTGAGAAAGAAATGACAGGACAGCCTATGATTCATGCCAAATAAGAGGAGAGAAAATTACTTTTTTACTTCCTTCCAGGTATCCCCAGAGCTTCTCTTAATTAAAAGTAGACGACGCTAACTCGTATTTCTGATTCTTTAAAAGGCATTAAATAAAGCTGAAGTTATTTGCAATCTAATTTGTTTAGAATTTTCTTGGGTTTCTTGGTTTATTAATGTGAAATGTAAACCCCCCTCCTGAAAAATATTTAAAAGCTAAACAAGAAGTTGCAGTATAAAAGAAGTTTGCAAAGCTACAAAATAGAATAAAAATAAATTGAAAATCGAGCTTACAGAGATTTTTGGCTATTCTGTGTCAAATATTAAATGGTAGAACAGTTACAGTGAGACCTTTATTGGCTCCTAAAACAAAGGAGTTGGTCTCAATTAGAAAAAGCCACAGAGAAGTACATATTTGATCTGAGCACATCTTCCAGAGTTTAGAATTCAGACTTGGCCCTAGCTAAATAGTATACAGAGAAAGCTTAAGCATAAACTCTCCACTTTGGTCAAATCAGATATCAGGAGCTAGAGGAAACCAATTGCCTGCTATAGAACCAAGTTACCTCCCTAATAACCTGAGGTAGATTTTTTTGCAGGGAAAATAGGCCAGGTAAATGGATAATACATGAGCAAATGAAACCATAAAGGGCAGCCCCTACCTCCTTAGAGAAGAATCGAAGTCTCTAGGCTGGTGAAAGAACACATAATATTAGAACTGGAAAGTACCCCCTGTTGATCTAAGCCATCATCAAATAATAAAACTTTTTTTCAGGAATATAATTAAAGGCAAAACCAGGAGACAACCAGTCCCCAACTCTTAGAAGTCCATGTTCCTTCTGCGAACTATGTAGCAGAAGTCATATGAAACTGGCAAATAATTCCTTTGGGCTCCCTTTCTTGCCATATTCTTCCCCAGATCTCAGTTTTCCATCCTCATTTCGCCAAAAGTCCGGGAAGCTAAAGTCAAAGCTCAGAAACCAGATCAGTGGTGAGAGCCCCATTCTTTGGCTTCTGGAAATGCAGCCATTCATGAAGCAGAGGTGACTCATCAAATCCCCATTCCCAAATCCCTCCCACCAGGATGCCATGCAGTAGCCAATCCCAGAGCTCTCCTGGACCCCCAGGAAACCTGGAGATGCTAATATAGCATTTTTAATATTACAGAAGTAGAGCATGGGGAACTTCCAGTTAACTCCCATTTCCTAACAATAAATGGGTCATTCACACTACAAATATATTCACTGAGCATAATTTGCTCATAGATAGGCCTTTGGTTTACTAGAGTAGAGATTTGCCTTTATCTCTTTGTTCTTTGCATGTCATAAATAGGAGTATCACTTGGGATACTCCTAAAGCTGTTTATCAATCTGAGAGGTCACGAAGTAACTGCTTTAGCAGCCATCACTCGTACTCCATTGAGTGCTAACTAGTTAGATGAAGATGTAGAGCCATGAGAAAACTAGATCTGACTACATTTAAAGTTTCATCTAGTAAGTAACAAAAGGCAGATGAAAATGAACTTAATAGTGTATTTTTTTATATATTGCTTTTAATGAATGCACACAGATCATGTAATAGTATATGTGAACAACTTTCTTGAATGAAAATGTGAGAAGTTATTTTAACAGCTTCAATGAGGTATAATTCACACAAAATAAACTGCACAAATTTAAGTGTGTAATTGATAAGTTTTGAGTATGTATATCCTTATAAATCTCACAATTAAGATAGTGAACATATCCACCTAAAAGTGTCCATTTGTGCCCCTTATTCCTACGGCTCACTCCCCACCCCAGGCAATCATTAATCTGCCTGCTGGACTATAGATTAGTTTGCATTTTTGAATTTTATATAAATAGAATTACATACTCTTATTTGGCTTCTTTCAGTCAGCATAATTATTTTGAGATTTGTCTATGTTGTTTTGTGCATCAATAATTCATTTCTTTTTGTTGTTAAGTAATATTCCATTGTAGGGATATACCACTGTTTGTTAAGCCACTCGTCTGCATTTGAGTTCCAGTATTTGGCTATTAAAGCTTCAATGAACATTTCTGTCTTATACGGACATGTACTTTTTGTTATCTTGGGTAAATACCTGGAAATGAAATGGTTGGATCATATAGTAAGTTTATGCTTAACTTGTTAAGAAACTGCCAAACTTTTTTAGAATAGTTGTGTCATCTTTACATTCCCAGTTTGAGAGATTTGAACTCAACGTGTAAAACTGACAGAGGTTGAAGTGAATAATAGCGTTTGTAGAAATCCTCTTTTATTCTGATGTGTGCATCATTGAAATCATAAGGAATAAGAGGGAAAATGGAATTCAGTTTTTATGGTCAAACTCTCACAAAATATTATCTACTTTGAAATAATCACGTGAAATAAATAGGCTTATTGCTAATGTTTGTTTAACGTTTTGTGCACATTGACAGCCAAAAGTTGGGTTAATGTCTGTGTCAAGAAAAAAGCAATTTAAAATGTAATAATTAGGACTTTCTTTGAAATGCTCAACTTTAATCATTTTCAATAATCTAACTGATCTAAAATCTCCTGCCTCTGATACTACTTGCTAGGAAAGAATTAAGAATGGGCTTGGCTTTTGCTAGTTCCTATCTGAGCTTTAAAGTCTCACTCAGTATATATATATTTCTAATCCAATAAGTCATAGCAGTTTATTCCAATTTACAAATAAAGTATCCTATAAAGTGGAATTTGATGCCAAACACAGGGCCTTCAACCTCTTTTATTATCACAAACATGCAGGTCCTAATAAGCTTTGGTCACTGTATTATGGTCCTCTTAATAAGCACATCTATGGATTTATTCAATTAATATTTGTTATCGTGTGCTGGTGTATACTAGACTATGCCTGGTCATTTTTTATTGCATTCCCCAGAGCACAGTGTATTGCATACAGGTGCCAGTCCACAAATACTTGTTAATTAATAGATGAATAACATTCATCTTAGCATAAATTCTATATTTCTCACTGTAATAGGATTGAAATCTCACCTACTGGCTTGAACCTACAGGCTCTGCCATAGTTGCAGCTTAAGCACCCCCCCACCCCCCACCCAGCCCCTTTTAAGATTCTGTTGCTCAGGCAACAAGGTTTCTCCATGCCTGCTTGTTTCCTGTTGCCCAGGCAACAGGGTATAGTTGGAAGGCTGGATTAAGACATCAGATGTTTTCAGTACTAGAGTTGCCTGTAGTTCACAACTTCTTTGACAAATCAGTGTAAGCATAACAGTATTCAGGGATGTGCAACTGACTCTAGTCTCTGTACATAAAGATGATTTTGGATGTTTGTAACCATCTAGTATCATACCTGTGATCAGAAAGACCCTTATGTAGTCTTAGGAACTATGGATCTTGCCTCCTTTTAGCAGAAGTCTTGCTCATTTTGACTCGTAGATATTCTCTACCGCCACCCCTTTTTTTTGAATAATCAATATCTAGTTTTACTTAAGTTTAATAAATTTTGCTTGGTTACTACTTGACAGGCTCAACACAGCCCTATCTGCCAATGTCACAATCAAGCAATCTTGAATTATGGTCTAAGGCTACATTGTTTCTTTTCTGTGACAGTCCTAAACTTTTCTGGCTTACTGCTCATTTGTTTCTAGCTGTCACTAGAGTGTACAAGTGGAGAGGCACAGCGGCACTAAGGCACTTTCCTGTAGTGACACCAACTCCATTAACACTGCAGATAGATGAAAAACTCTTATTGAACAGGGGAACTCAACCCTGTATAATGTCATTTATTTACACAGGACATGTTTATGAATATCATCACCTGAAGGAGACTTTCAAACAGTAAAATACTAGTTAGCTCAGATGGTGTGGTTGCATTAGCCACAGAAAGCATTGTAAGCCAATGTTGTAAGCCAAGCCTCTCATTTCATAAGGTTACATATTTCTTCTTTTAATCAGCATTAAGTAGCGTTGACTACTTTTCCCAGTTGAATTAAATGATGCAATTACCATGAAAGTGAAAATATTTTCTTGTTTCAGATACATATTTTAAAGAATTTTATGAAGTATAAAATTTTCTTCACAGCCAGGAGCCCTCTGACAAAATAATCATCCAAATAATTTACCTTGCACTTGAATTAAGTCAGTGAGAAGTTGATTTAAAAAGTTACAAGGCTAATAGGACCTCCAGTTTCCATGTTCCCTGTAGTGGTTTGGGGGTGGAAGTAGGCTAACACTCTGTTCAGTGCTTCACCTTCTGTTTTGGTTTATGAATTCTAGGTGAAGTCTCACCAGATCTAAAGAGAGTTGGAAGTGATGTCATTTTAGAATCCTTTGAAACCTCCACTTCTCTCACAAATTCTGTTACATTAGCCTGTAATGCTGTTGGTCCATGCCCATTTCAAAACTTTTAGATGACACAAGCTTCATTATGTTAAGCCTTTTCACCATAAAACATTCTGGAATGTTTTCTTCCTATTAGACCATTTCTGTTTTATAGCTTGCACTATCAGAGAAAATCATCCTCTGCAGCCATAATGTTCTCCTGGACAGAAACATGCAATCTGGTTCAGTCTAGAGGCAGACTTCCCTCAGGCTCTGCCTGATTCCAATCTTTTGCCCATCTGTGAACCCAACAACTGTATAGTTAAAAGCTGTCCCTTCTGGTTATAATGAGTCCGTACTATTTTGAAATTTCAAATGACTATGTTTTCTTGTATTCCGCGATATAATTTCCAGAGAAATTAACTGTTTTTCTGCTATGGGTGTAAGTTCAGTATTGTAGGGACTGTTTCTATTTACTATCCTATCTTCAACGTCTAGCACAGTGCCTATACATAGTGGGTGCTTAGTAAATATTTGTTGAATTAACTAATTTATTTTTAAAATTCCCTAAAGTTTATTAAAGAAGAATTTAGAATTATATAAAGGAGTGGCAAAGTGGGCAGCATATCAGCACGATCAGGGTGGTCTATTTCATGTAAACGACTAGCACATTTTTTAATATGTAAAAATGTTGGAAATTTTGGATTTTTCGGGACAACTAGCATAGTCATCTAGTTAACTTGGCATGTGAATGGTTATCAGCTATCAAGAGCACCCACAAACTTTTGAATAAAAGACTTCTAAAAGTTACATTTTAATTTAACTTTTAAGATAGCAGAGTCCATGAGGTATTGTATAGCTATATGGCATGACTGTTAGCCTCAGTCAGCATTTATGATGACAATGACCAGCACCTACTAAGGAAGGGTCTGGAATACACTGTCGAATATGGAGGCCACTGGCCACGTGTGACTCTTGAGCAGTTGAAATGTAGCTTGTATAACCGAGGAACTGAATTTTAAATTTCATATTAATAGTAATCTAAATACAAAACTGAATGTAAAATATCTCATCAATTTTTATATTTAGTACATGTTGAAATGATAATATTTTGGGTCTATTTGGTAAAATATATTTTAAAAATTAATTTCACTTTTTTATTTCCACTATTTAAAATGTGGCTACCAGAAAATTTAAGCTTATGTTTGTGGTTTGCATTATATTTCTACTGAACAGTGCTGAACTTGTTTAGAAGCCTAAGGGACAGAGTTATTCATCTGCACTTGCTCGGGTACAGCATGCGTGGAAGGATACGAGGTGCTGGAACATGTGCTGTGCTCCTCAGCTCAGCCCTGAGGCGGCCTGTACCCATACGGGCTGTGCTGAGATGGTGCTCCTCTTTGAACTGTCTGAAGGCAGGAGCCATCCCTTTTCTTTCTTTAAACATGCCCGTCATCCCAAGGCTGAGGAGATCGTATTAACTGTGCAAGGCAGGCGAGTTGCATTTACTCTTCAAGGTAGGCTCTGGAAACTTGAACTGGGAATGGGACAGAAAAAATAATGGGATCGAGAGAAGGCTGGCTTAGTGGGGTGTTGGGAGGAATGGAAAAAGGTAGAGAAGGAACTCACAGTTGGATGCAAAGGTTTTAGTATTATTCTAGTATTTAAGTTAGGTGGTAGGTAATGAGTGCCGATTTTGTTATGCGTCATAACTTAGGTATATATTGCAGGTATGTATCAAAATTTCTATGATTAAAATGAAAGGGTTGGGGTAAGAGAATTATCAGCCATGTTTATTGGTGTTTGAATGCCTATATTTAGTCGGACTCAGCAAATGACTATCATGTGCCTTATACGTGGTAGATGTATATATTTTTGTTGATTTGCATTAAATTAAAGTATGGTTCTTATAATTTTCAAAGCTCAGATGTTTCTTATTTTATTAAAAAAAAAACTGTTAAGAAATTGGCTCTAAGTTTTAGTGGCAAAAACAAGGTTGAAGGTTATTTATGGCTGTCCTTGGTGGGGTTTTAGGCCACTTCCACTGGGTGGAAAGCACCGAGACCAACTTGCAAAACAGTCCAGAAATCTAGAATTTTAGAGCTGGGCAAACAAGTGATGTTTAATAATACCGGAAACTTTAGGAAAAATACAATCCTCTTAAATGCAAAAATCATCTCATTTCATAGGAAGACATATAATTTCTTTTTTAAGACTGCAGGAACAAAGCATAGAAAATAATACATGGAAAAATTTAAATATATTTCTTTTAAATACAAAATCAGTATTTTTATTTTAAGTGTAACCAGAAAAACATTGAAGGCACTAAGATTTAGGCTCTTAATTATTATTAAAGTTTACAAGTAACTATGATGGAATAAGGTTCTTCCATTGGCCAATGGAATGTCAGATCTGCTCTGGGTTTAAATATGTTTATTTCCTTTTTTTATTGAACTCTTGAGTGTCTTGAGGAAAAATAAACTTTATGTAATTTTATAAACTAAACCATAGCAGGATGTAGCCTTTCAGTAAAAGTTGGTCAAATCCAACATTCTAATGGCTCCTAATTCTGTTTTCAGGGACTTCCCTGGTGGAATAGGATCAAGACCAAGACCAGGTAATTTAATGTTGGCAGCAATGAAATCATGTATGCCTCCCTGAAATTCAATGTAATTTATGTTATAGTTTTATATTTCCCCCTTTTATTTCTTCAGCTTTGCTGCCTCTTGACCTGCTTCTGAAAGTGCCACCCCTCATGCTCAGGGCCCACGTTAAGGAGCTAGAGGCCGAGTTAGTGACGGGGTGGCAGTCCCACAGCCTTCCTGCTGTGATTCTTCGCAATCTCAAAGATCATGGTAGTACTTATTAGATCAAGTTGATGTCAAGCACACAATGGGCAAACACAGAATTATAGTTGGGCCTGAAATGTCTTGAATGATGCTTGGGAGGTAATTTTACTATAAACAGCAGGAGAATTTTGTTTTGTTTGTCTACCATTATTAGTTTGGCATTTAAGAGTATCGAAATGCTTTCTGTGTTCACTTATTTGATAGAAATATTATAGAATGTTCTAAAATTTGCACTTCTACTTTGGTGGAAATGTTAACCAGTTGAACCATTGATGCTTAAAGTATATACCTACTAACAAAAAAATAGTAACTATGTTTTCCATACGTAGTTATGTAAGCTCTAGACTTCTATGGTACAAGAGACTGGAGCACATCTTTTCTTTATCTGTTTTACTCTGACACAGATAGTTCTTTTGTGATTATTTCTATTTATATTTAACTAAAACATACTATATTATTTCTTTAATAATTCAAAAATTATGGATTCTTAAAACAAACGTTTATAGTAATGGTTTGTGGAGTCTGTTAATTAGTTTCTAATTTCTATTAAAGAGGACTAAAGTACAATGATAATAGTAAAATTGTTAGCTAACCCTGGACAATTCAGGAGTTAAGTGATTTTGCTTTTAACATATGTATGAGTATATGACTCTTGAGTATCAAGTTCTATTTTACCACTTTGGTTAATTGGGAATTATTATCTAATGCTATTTTCACTTTAAATTCCTTAATCCACATATTTTTGTAGAGTTAACACATATAGTGAACAAAGGTGATGTGATTTGCTTTACTGTAATATTAGTCCGTGCCTCCATATTTATTAAATTTGCTTTGGATGAGTTATTGACAGTTTGGGGCTATTTATACTGTCAACATAGATGTAAAAAAAAAAAATGGCTTTGTTATTAAGATATCCAAAGCTATCATGTTGACTGTGCTCTACTCCTGCTATTTTGTTATAAGGTAAGTTCATAACATAATCATGAAGCTAAAACAATTGTTGATTGATTTTATAACAGCAAGAACAGAACACACACATATATATGTAAGCAATTCGTAGTCTGTTGTAATTCATAATAAGAATATTATCTTTTTAAAATATTGATTTTGTTATTAAGATATCCAAAGCTATCATGTTGACTGTGCTCTACTCCTGCTATTTTGTTATAAGGTAAGTTCATAACATAATCATGAAGCTAAAACAATTGTTGTTGATTGATTTTATAACAGCAAGAACAGAACACACACATATATATGTAAGCAATTCGTAGTCTGTTGTAATTCATAATAAGAATATCTTTTTCTAAAGGGCATATTGAATTAGCCCAGTTTAAGATTTGACTTTTTGTCAGTGAAATTGATCAGATCTTTGGACCTTTATACGAACTATTTACATTATGGCACAGTTTACATGTAATATATTTCTTAGACCTACAGTTTGTTATACCGTTCAATTCTTATAAATTCACTTGATTCATATTTTTTTATTTAAAACAGAATATAGTATAGCATTTTTAAATGTTGTCAGTGAATGCTAAAGTTTATCCATAAAGAAGATAATATAGAACACATTAATGCATATGAGAAGTTTGAGGTTATTACCTGTGGTAGGTAGGAGGTTTCTGTTTTTGAGTAAAAAAAATATATATTTTTCTCCATCTTAATGCAAAGCTGTTTTTCTGCATATTATAAGAGTCATACTTTTTAAAGTGTTACAGGTAAATTTGGACTATTGGTTGCTTTATCAAATCACAAATAACTGGTACCAGCCCTGTCCACTTAGGTTACTTCATCTGCAAATCACACTTCATTTCATTTGTCACCTCTGTATCTCTAGCCTAACTGAGAGAATAAAAAAGTATCATGAGACACTGTTGGTCTGATCATTTGCGAGTTATGCTTTAGGTATTCCTTACCTAAAGCCCTGAAATGTATGAATGATTTATTTTAAAAAATAAGCAGATTGTATTAGTGTATTTTTTATTTAAAATTTGATTTCGCTTTCTTGGATAAAAAGGAACATGGTGGAAATTATGTATAACCAACAGCTGCAGCCCTGTATTGCCTAAATGTTCTGGAAAAAAATTATCAGAGAGGGGAGATTTTCGTTATAACCTGGGTATACCCCCAGGACTATATCTAGTATATGAACATCATTTTCTATGTGCTACGGCAGAAGAAAGGGTGAGAACTATTAATTTAGAGTGCCAAGTGGCTATATTATATCTTATGTGGTACTCCTAAAATATAGACTTCTAGGTTCGTAGTGTGATGATACAGCAGTATTTAATACACCTCCAAACTCCTGTAGAATAGATAACCATGGAATCATTTCAAGTTAATACAATTATAAGACCTCTTATTCTGTCTTTTAATGCTAATTAAATTGAGTAAATAATTTATTTTATATACATCTTTTAGGTTAAATAATAGATTGTAGTTCGCTGTCAACAGAAATAAAAATTTAGTAATTCCTATATTACACGGATGAAAATATTAATAGTAATTAACATGAAATCAGTGAATGAATAAACATTTTAAACATGTTAATTTTTTTTAGCTCTAGTTCCTTAACTTTAGTCACTTGTAGATTATTGTTGCAAAAATTTGGCCATACTTGAGACCATCTGTACTACTATTTTCCTTATATATGTTTATTTTATTTGACTCACTTTCTGAACTTAAATTTATTTAAAGGAGAGTTATTGCTACAAATGGGAAGCCAGTGTAGTATCACTTGCAACTATAAAAATAAATGCAAATCTAAGCAAGAAAACATTATTATTTTCTTAGTAGATATTGATATCTGCTTTTCTGAGGTCTGCTTTCTTTGTTATAAAAGCATATTAGCTAGTATTTGAGAAATGGTGTAACATACTTACTCCACACTGAAATGTAACCTTGGTATAATCAATAGAGAGAAAAGAAAATTGGAAAAGAAATACTTTTCATACCTGATCTACTTACTGTGGAAAATTATACTGTGCCCCATGCCTCGGAAAACTCAGTTTTTATAAATAATTGATTGGTTCTGGTGTCAACAGAGTCAAATGAATTAATCAAACAACCGGATCTTTTTGAGAAAAAAAGAGTCTAGGATCTGTTGTCCATAAATAAGAAACAGCCTTTTCTTGTTGAGGTAGGGGAAATGGTGTCCTATTTATGTGAAAATTAAATCATACCAAAACATGTTATAAGAAATGTATTCTTTGTCAATACACAGAGTATATTTTAATGTTATGGATGCTATCAGTGTGAGTCAAATGTAAATTTCGGGGAGTGTCAGTCAAACTCAAATTTAAAGTGCAAATTGATGCCAACTAAGAGTATGGCCTAATTTCTGGATTGACACTGACATTTTCCCCTCCGTTACTCATTTTTTCATTTTCAGCAGCTAACACCCAGGCACTGAACTAATGTATGGAAATTCTTATGCTCTGCATTTTGGCTAGAAATTGTTGCTTCACGATTTCGAGGCTCTTAATTTTGTTTTCTTACTAGATGACAGAGAATCTATTTTTATACTTGTCTTTTGTTCATAAAGGTCAGATCTAAATAAAGTAGTCAGCGTCTCATCCAAATATTCCAGAGAGCACAGCTAATATTCTAGTCGTTCTTATTATGAGCAACTTTCAGTAGCTTATTTGCAAATTGGTTCTTAACATAAAGTACCTAATCCTGAATTTCATAATTGCCAAAGTGATTTTGAGTACATGCCTTCTTTCATATTATTGCCTAGCAATTCTTTTAGCATATAAAAATGTGCTCACCAGATTTTTATCAAAACTTATACTAGCCTCTACCATGTAATTTGGCATATAATTCTATACTTTTCTATATCGTTTGTTGGAATTCGGATATACTAAGTATATTTCCCAGATTATAAGCATCCTTAGTAAAGTTTACATTTATCTCAAGCATTTCCTCTGAGATCAGGTCCTTGAAAACTACTTATTGAGTAACAGGATGCAGACCTGCCACTGTGTTAATCCTTGTTTATCCTTCCTATTGAGAACAACTGCATTAGTCATCTTCTAATTACTTAACAAATGAAGAAACAATGGCATTTTAATGTTATACTTCATATTGGGGGAGGGGTGAGAGACAATTTTTTTTTTTTAACCAATGATAATTTGCATCCTAATTCTTCATGCTAAGGGAGGCACTGAGGAATTGTGGACCAGTTCTCAAGAAGATGCTGCCTGGAGATGTAGACTTTTTTTTTTCTCTCCATATTCTTTGTAGGATAATGTCTTTGCAAAGAGATATTCAGACTCACAAAAGTTACTGACGGTCCCACTCCAAGACCAAGTGGAAACTGCATATCAGCTGCTAAATAACAACTCACAAGCCTGCCCCAAGGCTTTCTGCCCTGGGGGAAAGGCTACATGGAAGGAGGGGAAAAAGGTCACACTAAGCTCTGGTGGGGATCAAAGGAGGTCAGTGTGTCTTGGGTGATGATGGTAGCACAGTTTTCAAAATAACTGAGTCAAGAGAAAAACAAGGCTCTTAAATTCCAAATCACCATTATTATTATAATGGAATTAAAAAAATAATAGTTTCAGAGTATATTCAACTATCCTTTGAATTGTCATCATACAGTAATTTAAGTATTGAATATGATGACAGGTTAGTCAGTACTAAAGAGAAAGAGGCAATTGACCTCTTTCTTTTAGCTAGGCCACCAGCCTGTCCTCAGCCGAGATCTCACCCGTGTGTAACTGACATTCCTCACTTCTGAGTCCATAGATTATTGGGGATATTTTAGATAGTGAATTAATTAACATTTTTATTTACGTAACTACTTTTTTAAAAAAAAAACACACATTGGAGTGCAAAAGCACAATTCTTAAAGTTATTCTTTAGCAAGCATCCTGATTTTATTTAACTCATTAATGATGGAACCAGATAGAGGATAAAAGAGCTGTTTCCCAGAGCATTTAAAAAGCAGGGGTTTATATAGTTAGTCAAGAAAGAAAAGCTGAAATTGTATTGCTTAATTAAGC